CCATCTTAACATTTGAGAGGTTAACATAAGAACATAAGAGATGCCAATGCTGGATCAGGCCAAAGGCCCATCCAGTCCAACACTTTGTATCACACAGTGGCCAGAAATACCAGGTGCCATCCGGAGGTCCACCAGTGGGGCCAGGACATTAGAAGCCCTCCCACTGTTGACACCCCCCCCCAAAGCACCAAGAAGACAGAGCATCACTTGCCCCAGAGCCCCTATCTATACCTTGTGGCTAATAGCCACTGATGGACCTCTGCTCCACATGCTTATCTAATTCCCTTTTGAAGCCGTCCATGCTTGTAGCCGCCACCACTTCATGTGGCAGTGAATTCCATGTGTTAATCACTCTTTGGGTGAAGAAGGACTTCCTTTCATCCATTCTAACCCGACCGGTTCTGTGCTGCAGCCTGAATATTGCAAAGTGCCACCCTCCAAAGAGCGCCTGTGCACTGTCAGCCCCTCGTCTGAAACAGTAACAGACAAATCCTCTCTCTGGCACTACTTAGCTGGTGGTTCAGAGAAGGAGATGTACCTTCTGAGGAGCACTGGGTCCATTTTGCACTTGGCTTCCTGAGTGAATGGTTGCACTTGACGCCTGACTAAACAAAGGCTGCTGGAAGGTTGTCACAGATTGATTTTGATAGGAGAACATTGCATTGGGTGAGGTAGAAGGAAATACCTGTAAAAACAGAATTTATTTAAACCTGTTATATATACTTCAAATAAAACAAACATGGTTTACAATGACAGCAAAATAGTCTCTAATACAGTCAGTGGTTACGACAATAAATCCTAAAGGAAATCAAGTCTGGAGAGAATCCAAATGCCTTATCAGCTTTTGAAAAGCCTCAAAAGATGGACAACCATGATGGGGAAAAGACTACTTTGTGCTCCCATGGATGAAAATTACTGTGGTGAGTGAATCTGTTGTTGATCTTAAGGGCCAAAGAAACAGTCTTGGTGTGGGAGGGAGTGTTCTCTAAAGGACGGAGCTAGCTGTGTAATGCTTTAAATCTCTGAACTACTAACTGGACTGGGCTTTCAAGCTGGTGATCTTCTTGCAATATAGTTTGGCACTGGTGGATCCCTCACAGTTAAGATGAGTTAGTCATATGATACACCAGGTGCAGGCTATGAACACTCTTCAAAGGCAGTCCCCTATGGAATGTCTTGCAACAGTCACGCCTGAAATTTACAAACGACTGCTATCAGACCCAGTCATCCAAAATAACCTGCTTTAGTACTGGCTAAATAGCAGCTAAATAGGAGCTGCGGTGGCTCAAGTGGTTAAGATGCTGAACTGCAGGCTGTGGAAGGTCGGTAGTTCAGCAGTTCGAGACCCGAGTGCGCCGCATGACGGAGTGAGCTCCCGTCTCTAGTTCCAGCTCCTGCCAACCTAGCAGTTTGAAAGCAAGAAATTGCAAGTAGATTAATAGGGACCACTTCGGTGGGAAGGTAACAGCGTTCCGTGCGCCTTGGCGTTTAGTCACGCCGGCCACATGACCACGGAAACGTCTTTGGACAGCGCTGGCTCTTCGGCTTTGAAACGGAGATGAGCACCGCAACCCTAGAGTCGGACTCGACTGGCTTTCGAGCAAGGGAACCTTTACCTTTACTTTAAATAGCAATTGCCATGTTCCATACCAACAGTGTGACTGTGCGTGCGTGATCCCAGAGGACCCTCTGTGGGTTGTCTTGGGCATCTGAGAGCCCACTGCACCCATGGGCCTCCACGTGTGGATTATCTCAGTAGCCAGAGTATAGCTGTGTGCTAGTGAGTGGGCAAAAGGGGCTGCTGGGTCCCTAAGGTGAGGTACAGAGGCACCTCCATTCAGGGGGGAAGCTGTGCCAGCTGGTGAGAGGTATGGGGCTGAAACCAAGGGCTTATCACCTATCATCATTCCCCTCCGTTAAACGAGGAGCCTTCCTCCAACAGAACAGGCTTGTGTGAGGTTGTACAACCTTCAACAGACAAGACGGTTTCATTATAAAAAGTTAATGGTCTGCTTGAACGGGCCACAGCTTCAAATAAATCAGGCGTTAAGTAAGAGACGTTTTATGTCAGAAAATCTGAACGTGATTGAGACGCATTGTCATTTAACTGAGTACTACTGAGAAGATGCAAAACTGAGTATGTAGTTCACTTATCGAGTTCTTGGTGAAGGACTCTCCTCATGTGTCACTGCTGATATGTCAGCAAAACAAATGTTCAGGAACGTGGGATTATTTGTCTGCTCTACAGAAAGCTGCACACCCCAAACCAAGGGGACTTCCCATCAGGCATCTGAGAGTGCATTCATGCTACTGCTGTTCCGGGTCACACAGAGAAACTTCAACCTGAATCTAAGGGACAGAACACCACACCTTAAAAAGGATATTATAGCTTTGGAAAAAGTGCAGAAAAGGGCATCTCGAATGATTAAAGGGTCGGAACACTTTCCCTATGAGGAAAGGTTAAAGCGCTTAAGGCTCTTTAGCTTGGAGAAACGACGACTGAGGGGTGACATGATTGAGGTTTATAAGATTATGCATGGGAAAGAGCAGGTAGAGAAAGAGGTACTTTTCTCCCTTTCTCACAATACAAGAACCCGTGGGCACTCCATGAAATTGCTGAGCGGTCGGGTTAGAACAGATAAAAGGAAGTACTTCTTCACCCAAAGAGTGATTAACACTTGGAATTCACTGCCACAGGAAGTGGTGTCAACAGTGGCAGGGCTTCTAATGTCCTGGCCCCACTGGTGGACCTCCTGATGGCACTGGTATTTCTGGCCACTGTGTAATACAGAGTGTTGGACTGGATGGGCCTTTGACCTGATCCAACATCTGCGTCTCTTATGTTCTTAATAAAGAAGTGCAATACTAAGTCTGGAAGCCACTTCCACAGTATATCCTGTTTAACGTCAGACCCTATACCTAAAGAGCACATGGGTAAATTTACAAGCAACGAGGAAGGGAATTAACTTGCTGCAGCTACTCATGTGGCAAATCACCAACCTTTCTGTTCTGTGGTGTCTGACCAAGCACATGCTGTTGGGGACTGTCTGGTTTAGGGGGTGAAGCGTGCATCTGCGGCACGTTCTGGACCAAGCCGGAAGAAGTCGATATTTGTGCCACGTTTAGAATTCCTGGTTGTGGTGGAGCCTACGGGAGGGAGAGAATGGCTTGATTTCACAGGAGACAGAAAACAGCAGCTTTAACAGCAGCAGCAGCAGCAGCGCCTCCTAGGCACGTGCCGCTCAGCTTTGTCCCTTGGCCTGACACATGAAACATGCAGTGATGCCACAATGCCAGGTCAGATCAGGTCACTGGTCCCTCTTGTCCTGTTCTACGTGCCCAGGCTGCCCGAGGCTGCCCAAAGTCTTCTGCAAAGGTCTTTCCCAGGCCTGTTAGTAAAGTCCCTTTCAACCAGAGTTGCTCAAGACTGATTCTCGGACCTTCTGCATTCAAGCCATGCATTCCTTCTTTGAGTAACAGCGCCTCCCATAAGATGACAAGATGTCTTCTTTAGAGACAAAGAAATTAAGCACTGCAGGGGGGGAAAGGGAGCCCTTTATTATGCTATCAACACACGGGAGGTTCTGTTGGCCTAGCATCTGCATGTGTTCCTCGTAACGCTTCAGAAAATGTGGCGGGAGAGGACTTAGATAAAACCTAACAGATTTAGGATAATTCCCCTCACCTTATTACTTGCCTGGACTCATCTGTATCCAACTCCGTGTCAGCTAGGATTTATTGCAAGAGTTCAAAAAGATGCACTTGAGTCACCAGCAGTCTTCCAAATTACAAGAATGTGCACCTTCTTTAAAAAGTATGAACTTGCATGTGCAAAACATCTAATCTTTTATTAATCTCTGTACACACAATGTTCCCTCACTAGAGGATTTACTTACTATCTGCTCCTTTCTCCCCTTGCTGTTCCCTTAAACCCTCCTCAACCTTTGACAGTGGAATGTGAAAGGCGGACCACAGTTGCAGATGGAGCAAAGCCACCAAAAAGAGCATCCAGATGTGTCCTAAGCAGTCCCTTATGAAAAGCCACAGGTACAATTCCTTCAGGTCAGTTGCTCCTCTGAGCTTACTGAACAGGAGATGTTCAAACTGGATTTTGAGTAGTGATATCCGAAAGTACTCCCCTGGTAAACAGCAGCATGGGAGTGTGCGTCTAGATTTGGATCGAGGGAGTTTTCCAAAAACCTCTTTCCCCTTACACCATTTTCTTGACTTCAGATGGCTTCCCAGAGTGGCTCTTTACTCTGCTGGAGGAAACACATACCACTTATGTTTTCCTCCTATGGAGGATCATATAAAAGTTGGGGAAACGGTGCAAGGAGAAAAGGTTAACCCTTCTTTTTCATGTGGCAGCCCTGACTCTAATGGCCTCACCTTGCTGCTCTTTACCAAGTAAAAAGGTTTTCATTGCTAGAATATGCAATCTCCAGCATCCCATCTCCCAAAACATTCTTTTACAAGATAGTTCTTTGTTCTTTTGTTGGTCCAGCCATACAGTATTTAAAAGGTCAGTATTTTATGATCCCTGAATTCATAAAAAACAGGTTGCTTATCAGTAACTGGTGATCTTCGAGTGGTCATCTGTGCATTCACACCCATGGGTTTAGTGCGCACGCGCTGAATCGATCGGTGCTGTAGCAAGCTCTATTTTAACGGATTTTCGCGCCTAGTCCCACTGGGCATGCGTGATCGATTCAGCGTGTGCGCACTAAGCCCATGGGTGTGAAGCACAGAGACCACGAAGATCTGCTAGTTTCCCCCAGGAAATTCAGTGTAGAAATGACCTGCGTTTCCAATGGCTCTGATTCAAGTGGCCCAAAGCAGAGGAAAGCTTTCCTACCTGTACTTGGACATTGCCCACGGGGAGCTGCACTGAGGTGGCTGGATTTGGACCCTGGAGAGAGAGCGGCAAAAGCAGTTGTGCTGTTCCTTGTGCAGTAAGTACAGCCTGTGGCTGAGCCACCATGGCTGTCTGAGGCTGCCTGTGCGAGCTTACGTAAAACTGAGATATGATGTTCTGGGGTTCCGCTTTGGCCAAAGGAACCTCCTGCTTGATAACAAGAGCCTTTTTGGCAATGAGATTCTGGACTCCCACTGAGGCAGGTTGTCCCAAAGATTGGCCGGCTTCAGACAGTGATTGTCTTCCGTCAGAGCAGTCCGCTAAAGCACCTTCCTCTTTGACTGCGGGGCTGCCATGCTTCCGATTCAAAGTGGGTGCCGCTGAACTTGCAGGGGTCTGGGACGGCTGCTGGTGACCCCTTTTTTCCACTTCGAGCTGCATTTTCAGCACTTCCACCAGCTTCTGCTCTTGTTCCAGTTTTTTCTTGAGCTCTTCAATTTGCTTCTCTTTCTCTTTAAGCTTGCGGTCCTTTTCGGCCGCTGCCAGTTCGGTACTTGGTGCACTCCCACCAATGTGGCCATCTTCACCGGCAGATGCTCTAACAGGTGACATGCCCGGGAGATGTGGTGGTGACATCAGAGTCATGATTTCGGTTAAAGTGTCCGCCATGTTAGTGTCATCTGTGCTACGATTCGACTGCTCTGAAGGAGATGGGGAAATGGGCAGAGAGGAACTGAGGCATTCCATATAGGTTGATTTGCTGCCAGTTCCGGTAGATGGGTTTTCCGAAGAAAAGCAGCGAACAGAAGTAACTGTTGGCTTATTTAATGCACTGACAGGGACTGCGGCAGCCACTTCCCCGGGATTACTTATATTGTTAGCGGCTGGTGCACTGCTTGTGCTGACAGAATTATTATTAGGATCCTGATAGAGTTTCAAACGTTCAATAAGATCCATTTTAGTTCCGGACACAGGTAATCCCCTTAGCTTTAGTTCCATTTTCAGTTCAGCCACCTGATATTAAAAAAAAAAAAAAAAGGTAAGTGAAAAATTAGGCTGTGAAGGCCGACTAGCCTCTCACAAACTCCACATGCAAGCTCCAACACACACGTGAGGCTCCTGCAGTCATGAGGCTTCCACATTCACTGTCACCTCGGTTACATAACCTCCTTTGCATGTGCAGGAACATCATTAACATTACAGTACAGAGGCAACTTGGAGCTGCGGTGGCTCAAGTGGTTAAGACGCTGAACTGCAGGCTGTGGAAGGTCGGTAGTTCAGCAGTTTGAGACCTGAGTGTGCCGCATGATGGAGTGAGCTCCCGTCTCTAGTTCCAGTTCCTGCCAACCTAGCAGTTCAAAAGCAAGAAATTGCAAGTAGATAAATAGGGACCACTTCGGTTTGTCAGCATCTCTCAATGTCCTCCACACTGAGAGACAAACCCTCTGGTCTCTTGCAGGAAAAACTTGTTCCCCTCTATAGAGGGTTTGTTTCTCAATGTCAGTGCGCCTTGGTGTTTAGTCGTGCCGGCCACATGACCACGGAAACGTCTTCGGACAGCGCTGGCTCTTTTGGCTTTGAAATGGAGATGAGCACCGCAACCCTAAAGTCGGACTCGACTGGCTTTCGAGCAAGGGAACCTTTACCTTTACCTATAGAGGCAACTGCCTGTGCCTAAGTGAGAGCTCTTTTGAAGCCCCAGATCAAAGGCAAAGTGCTTAGCTTGTTTGGTATTTTGGAGGAAGAATTTGTTTTCTGTTACAGTAGTTATATATCTGCATCTCTAAGGCACAGAGGATTTTTTTTGTAGCAGCCAGAATCTTATGTTTAATATTAAGTTTGTAGTGTTTGATGTGATGTTATTTTAAACCTACTTGAACATATTTTTGGAGAGAATGGTGCGCAAATGTGTGTAATAACTAACTGAGTAATTAAGAAAACCACCCAAAGTGTAACACAGGTAAAACGGTCAGCTCAGGACTTTATACTTTGAAGCCCAGCAGGTGGGCCATGATCAAGCAAAAGGTTAAGTGCATGAATTTACATTTTTAAGTACAGAATTGTAAAGAAATGATGTACGCTCAAGAGCTCTGCAGTTTTATTAGTGATAATGTCTTGTCTGCAGGATCACAGTCCTTTGCTAGGTGTGTGTGTGTGTGTGTAATCAAATGACTGAAACGACTTTCAGTTTCCTGTTTTCCTCTATTGTAAAAGCTGAGAATCTGCTGGCTTCAACCCCCGAAGACTGACTAGAGGACTCACTAGAGGTCTCTCTCCTTCCACGCACAGAAGGCTTTGCAAAATATCTGTGAAGCCAGGACACCTTAGCAATGACCTCATTCATTTTGAAGCACCAGCTGTGGTTCAGGCCAGGCTCTTCCCTAACTAAGTTAAGGTTAAGGTAAAGGTTCCCTTGCTCGAAAGCCAGTCGAGTCCGACTCTAGGGCTGCGGTGCTCATCTCCGTTTCCAAGCCGAAGAGCCAGCGCTGTCCGAGGACGTTTCCGTGGTCATGTGGCCGGCATGACTAAACACTAAGGCGCACGGAACGCTGTTCCCTTCCCACCGAAGTGGTCCCTATTTATCTACTTGCAATTTCTTGCTTTTGGACTGCTAGGTTGGCAGGAGCTGGAACTAGAGACGGGAGCTCACTCCGTCATGCGGCACCCGGGTCTCGAACTGCTGAACTACCGACCTTCCACAGCCTGCAGTTCAGCGTCTTAACCACTTGAGCCACCGCAGCTCCCTAACTAAACAGATGACCAATTCAAGAAGGTCATCAGGACTGTTATTAGTCATTTACTAAAAACCCCTTGTCTTTAATCCAGCTCTTCCCCCAAGAGACTCGGGGATCTTGTGCATAGCTCCCCCTGTCCTCACATCTATCCCCATGATACCCTTTGTGAGGTGGGTGAAGCTGAGAAACAGCGACTGACCCAAGCTCTCCAGTTAGTTTCATAGCCGGCCTTGAATCTGGGCCACTCCAGTCCAAGGCCAACAAGCTCTCCACTACACTGCTCCAGTGGTCAATTACATTCATGTTTACACCCAGTTATCTCCCAGTTTGTCAGCATCTCTCAATGTCCTCCACATTGAGAAACAAACCCTCTGGTCCCTTGCAGGAAAAACCTGTTCCCCTCTACAGAGGGTTTGTTTCTCAGTGTCGAAGACATTATAACACCAAGGACATTTTCTCAGTGTCAAGGACTATAGCACCAGACAGGGGCTTCCAGTTGCCTATTTTACAACAGCTTACAGCTCCTCGATTAGGTTGTGCCTTTATGCTTGCGTGATTCAGTGTCTTCCCATCAGAGGGAGATTTGTGAATCTGCCTTACCACAAAAGAATCTGCCCATGCAGTAGTAGGGAACCAGAATCGACTGCTCGTATTCTGCCTCAATGTGAATTTTATGTCAAAGCGCAGGATGTCTTGATTAGCCCTGTTCTTCATAACGGGCATAGCCCTCCCAAAAGTGAGGCTTGTCTCCCTTCTCTTATCAGATCAGTGTTCCCATATTACCCTCTCAGTAGCAAGGTTTCTTCTGATTGCTATGAGAATCAGGGAATATAAATTAAAGTTCTGGAGAGGTTATTGATTTGGATTGTACTCTGTATATTTTAGGAGCTGCAGTGGCTCAAGTGGTTAAGACGATGAACTGCAGGCTGTGGAAGGTCGGTAGTTCAGCAGTTCGAGACCCGAGTGTGCCGCATGACGGAGTGAGCTCCCTTCTCTAGTTCCAGCTCCTGCCAACCTAGCAGTTCGAAAGCAAGAAATTGCAAGTAGATAAATAGGGACCACTTCGTTGGGAAGGTAACAGCGTTCCGTGCGCCTTGGTGTTCAGTCATGCCGGCCACATGACCACGGAGAAGTCTTCGGACAGCGCTGGCTCTTCGACTTGGAAACGGAGATGAGCACCGCAACCCTAGAGTCGGACTCAACTGGCTTTCGAGCAAGGGAACCTTTAGCTTTACCTTTTTACCTGGATATTTAAATACTGGTTTTGTTCAATTTTAATTCATGTCAATAAAGGTACTGACTGTCTTTTGTGAGATTTGCTTTTTTTCCACAGAGAAGTCCGCTGCTGACCATACTACAGTCAGGAGCTGCCAGAGGAGCAATGCCTTGGGATGAGGTCACGTTGTGGGGCTGTTTCTTAATGCTCTTAATGCTAGAAACGGGAGAAGACCACATAGTTTGTTTGACTCTGGTTTAGAATCTATTCCCTTTATAGCAACTGCAGGGGGAGAAAAAGCTTACGGAACTCTGCTAACTCACATGGAAAAGTTATCACACTTCTGGAAAAAACGCTTGTTTTGCTATCTCATGCACCCAGTATTTCCCAGGACTGATATGTTTCAGGACAGCTACACCACAATAGAACTTCCAGCAAGGTCAAAGTTTTCCTTCTCAGGTCTTTTAAATGTTAGTTCGTGGCCATGTTTCAAATTTAAGCATTAAGGTAGTTAAAAAGAAGGAAAAGGCCCTCAGAGACACGGCAAAAGAGGCAAAGCCAAACCTGATATTGTTCGTATTTCTGATGGACTGTACACCTTGCATTTGCAAATACACTTTGCTAATTTTATCTATTTTTATTATTCCCAGTGCTATGTTATCTTAAACCATATAATGCAGACACGGCTTGTCATTTTTCTGCCTTTTACACATACCAAATCTTCGCTTTGCCTGGCTTAAACTGATGCCAAGCACCCAAGATTACATATAACATTCAGGGAAGGTATTGCTTCTTGATCTTTCAGCCACCTTCAAGCATTGCCTTCTCTGGGAACTGGCTTTTTCATGTCATCATGCAATGCCAGACTACATGATCCCTGGTTGGCTGGAAGAAGACAACATTTTCAAAAACAGGGCCAAAAGAGCTAAATGAAGTTGTGACGTGGGGGGAGGGGTTGAGGAAAACATCCTCTCACTCCACAGAAAGCATTCCCTCTGCACCAAAAACATTCAGTTCTGAAAAGTCAGAGCAGTACTAGGTTTACCTTTAAGTCATCCAGGCTAGGAGGCAGAGGTCCTGGTTTTCTATTGGAGATAGTATTGTTCTGTCTTTGAGTGCTGGCTGCAGTTGACAATGTACTACTGTTCAAAGCGGTCAGTTGTCCATTCCCACTGGTGCTCTGATTGTCATTCACCGGCCTTCGGAGAGAAAAAAATACACACAAGACACAACTAAAGCTCATACCAACGGCTTTCTCTTCTGCTACGTTACATTATTTTAAAAATCTCAAGTAAATGTCCATTTCACTCAAACATTTCTTGTATGCTACATGAGCCAGACTATAATATTAAAATATTATATATGAAAACTGTTTGAAGGAATTCATGTCGGAATGAGATTTAAATATTTCATACACTGCATCCAAAAAAATGTTTTTCTATGCATTGAACCACAATGCAGTTTGAACTAACCGGCATGTCATCATCCTGAAACGGTTGTGCGTGAGCTGACCAGCATTTTCTGGAGAAGGAAAAGTGGCAGCCAATGTTCCCTCTAAGCTGTGGAGTCTTGTGAGCAAAAATTCTACTTCGTGAGCTACTGGCATTCAAGTTGTGAGCAAGTGATTTGACTCCTGCATAAATTAGTCTGCTCTGGAGCCATCCTCCCTGAGCTAGGATGAAAATGTGTGCGCTGGAGGCTAAAAAACTGTGAGCTAGCTCACACTAACTCAGCTTAGAGGGAACACTGGTGGCAGCCTACCTGCTCCTGGCACCTTTCACAATCCCCAGATCGAGGCTCTGCCCACCAGACACAGTTCAGCTTTGGTGTATGAAATAAATACCTCCATGTCACATGTCCAACATGAGCAGTAGCTCACACTCGGCAAAACCATGGCGCTATTTCTTTCTGGTGGCAGCATCTAGCAGCCCAGCCCTCAGATGTGCCGGCATTTAACTGTGCCAAGTAAAGTTAGTCAGTATTTTGAAGTCCGTTTGGACTACAGGCTTTGGAATTCACACGGTGTGTGTAAATCTGGGAGCTGATCCTGGTCACGTTTAAGTGGGCAATGCTGTACTTAGTACTATCACAGGCCACCCTCCTAACAGACACCTCTGATTCATACACAGTGCTGTTGAATCATCTTAAAGTGCTGCAGTGTCTTGCAGGCATTTGTGTGCCCAGCTGTGCCACTACAATGACCCTTGCACCAGTTGTATCCTTTTCCCCCCTGCACAGCAGATCACAGACTTGGGTTGCAGAGTTTAAATATTTAGACGTTATCGGTATTAACATGAATGTATGGCATGAAGCTTGTGCTGTTCCCACACATGCAGAAACACCACAGGTTCCCCCCACCCAATGTTCCCTCTAAGCTGTGGAGTCTTGTGAGCAAAAATTCTACTTTGGTGCCTGCTACACGGCAGGGAAACCACGAGGCAAAGCGCGGCTAAATAGAGCCGCTCCAACGTTGAGACGCTGCGGCGGGATCCCACGGATCCCCTGGCTGCGGCGCCTCTTCTCCCCGGCAAGAGCAGACGCCGGGGAGGACGAGCCCGATGGGAGGGGGAGGCTGCCGAACTGCGCATGCCCGAGCATGCGCAGTACGGCCGGGGGCTGGGATGCGGCGGCGCAAGGACGCGCCGCCGATCCCACGGCCTGCTTGGGGCGCTCCAGACGGCTGCAACCACCTAGATAGGTGGTTCGTTTTTGCAGCGGGGTATCGCCATTTGGGCCGGATCAGGGACGGAGACGGCACGCTCGCCAGATGTTGAGGTGGGATTGCGGCCGTTTGCTCCGCCCCCGTTCCATCCCGCTCCCAGCCCAAATGGGCTCGTATGAACAGGGCCTTTGTTGAGCTACCAGCAGTAAAGTTGTGAGCAAGCGATTTGGCTACTGTGTAAATTAGTTTGCTCTGGAGCCATCCCTTCCTGAGCGAAAATCTGTGGGCTGGAGGCTAAAAAAACTGTGAGCTGGCTCACCCTAACTCAGCTTAGAGGGAACACTGGCCCACCACCCTTCCTCAAACTGCTCTCTTCTAGCTGAAATCTTCTTTAATGCAGCAACCCAACTTTCTCCTCGACCTGCCGCAAAATCCCACAATACCCAAGTGGGCCTGGGCAGCAGAGATTTCTCCCTATCAGAGGTTGGTTTCGCTCCCATGGAGGATTAAAAAAAATAAAAAGACAATGCTTGCCAACACTTGACATACTTGAGCGGGGCAGGAAGAATCGTCTGATAGTTGTAGTGCTGTTGCTGTTGGCTCAGGATCTGCAGTTGCAAGAAAAGCTGCTGCTGCTGGAGCAAGCGGGCATAGTTGGAGTCCATCTGCGGCTCGGTCTTCTCACCTTTCTGGTCTGGGGGGATGTACTGGTGGTACTTGAGCTTCTTCACTCTGGGCTTGGGGTCTTTGGATTTCTTGCTCCGGGGCTTGTCACTCGGGTTCTTGGGGTGAGGTTGCTATTCGTAGATGGGAAGCAAAACAAAACAAAACAGGTGCGAGTCACCCACACTCACAATGCAGACGCTGCGCTAAGCAGAGAAACACCCTTCTAAGCTCATGGACTTCAACGGACTTAGGAAGGAGTCATTGTACACTTAGGATGCCATCGTGAATACCCCTCCAATACAGTGGGAATGTAAAGTGTGAGGGTACTATGGACATTTCCCCGGGGACTTGGTAACGGAGCAATAACCTGTTTGCACACCGTTTTCGTTCCAAAATCAATCAATTGCCAGGGGCAGTGTGAAAAGCAAGTGGGCACATCTAAAGTGACAAGCAACTGAAAAGGTCCCTGTACTCCACTTACTGATTCGTGGTAATACCTTTAATTAAAGGCTTGCCCACCACCACCATTCATAGTACTTCCTGGTTGGATTAGTATGAAATCTTTTGAAAACCATCCAGAAACTTTAGTTGGTTCAAAAGGATAACAGGTGCTAGCCACAGAATATGTAATACTTGTATTACAACCGCTTCACTGTCAGCATTACCCCTTAAAGACATAAAGTATCTGGGTCCAATACATTTAAGGAAACTCCTGCTCCCTTTTGAACCTTCTGCTGAGGTCTATGAGCATATCCTTACTTACTTCCAATGTCTAGGCAATACTCAAATCAGCCTGCAAAAAGCTTTGCAGATAGGGACACCCTTATTATGGAATGTTTTATGTTTAGCAGCTCATCAAGCTCCCCCACCCTACAAGTCCATTCAGAGGTTGACCAAGACTTGTGCAGGGGAGTTGGGACCTCAGCAGGGTATAATGCCATAGAGTCCACTGCCCAAAGCAGCCATTGTCTCCAGAAGAACTGATCTTGGTCATCTGGAGATCAGTTGTAATAGCTGGGAAATTTTCTGTAGGGGAAATGATGTGGTGTGGGTTGGGAACACGGTGATTTCTGGGAGATCTCTAGGCCCCACAGGGAGACTGGCAACTCCAGTGACCGTTTAAGGGAAGATTGGGAGATGTATTTTATCGCAGGACACATTCAATGACTCCCAACAGCAACAGCAACCAGTTTAGAATGTTAGCGGCAAAGGCCAATCAGGCCACATATGCAAATGACCTCTGTGTTCCGACTGGCTACAGAAGAGAGAGGAACTGCAAACTGTTTAGAACGTTGGAGGTGGGACTCAGGCAACGCAGCCAGTGGATAGGGACAGCTTCTGAGCCAACTGATTTAGGAGCGTGTGGAATGTTCAGAAAGTGCCACTCCACTTCACAATTATATATAAGGAGAGATTCTGTACACTGTGCTCCCTTTGGCTTTGTTGTTGAGGGGACAAAGTGGCACAAATGAATAAAACGGGAATGAATTCCATGCTCCTCATTTCTCTGCAGTGTGCCAAGTCTAGGCATTAGGCAGATAAAAATGAGAATCAGTGAGAGAACACTTCGATCTTGATTTCTTCGCTACCTTAAATTCTTAGGATTACTGGAAATAACTGTGCTCCTTCACATACTTACACACCTATGCTATTTCGGGGCGTGAAGTTTTTTTAGGCAACCTGCCATCACTTGTATAATTCGGCTTTGCTGAACAGCCTACTATGAGAAGCGGGATTGATCTTTTGTCCCTTAGCAAAGAGAGACAAAGCTATGTGGTTTTTTTTACAGGATTATTACCTTATGACCCCTAATTTCAAGAATAAAACAAAATTACTAAATGACCCAATGGCACATCTTAAGTAAGTGCCCTCCCCCTCCCTGAGTTAAGTGCAACCACTGAACATATTTACCAACTGCTGGCTGAAAGGCATTTATTTACTCCTTTTACATCCCATCCTTCTCCTCCAGTGGGTGCCCAAAGCAGCTGACACCACTCTCCTGTCCTCCACTTGATTCTCACAACAGCCCCATCAGATAGGCAAGGCTGAGAGCGTGTGACTGGTCCAGGGTCACCCAGCAAACTTCTATGGCACAAGTGGGGATTCAAACCCAGGTCTCCCAGATTCTTGTCCAACTCTTTAGCCACTGCCCTGCACTGGATCTCAGGGGGGAATGCACATCCCCACACACATCCCTCCTGAGCCATGCAACAGAGATGTGCCCATCCATTTCTGCACCAGCACTGCTTATACACATACTCCCAGGCATGTATCTTCCTTCCTAGATCTCCCTTGCTACTTTTAGCAAATGTCTACACAGTATACACACTATTTGTACTTATGTAAATTTCCAGCTTTGCATGCCTGCGTATGAAAACCAACAAGGTGTCATACTATTAGCTCACACTGTCCTGCTGCAGACAATTTAAAAGTGAACACTTAGGGAGGCAGAGGAGAATTTTAAAAACATATTATTTGTAGCAAGGAAACAAGTTTAAAACTATCCCCCCCCCGCCCCAACCATAATCTCTGAAAACCTCAGAGTAACCTATCCCATATGCTCAGGGAATTAACTCATCACAGAAATATTTGATGTATTTTTCTAGTAATAAAATCAAGAAGGAAACCAACACTGTTGGCCACCAAACTAAACAGTGCCTTGATTAAAGGTTGTCTCTTTGTATTAGAGAGAATGCCG